GAATCGTCACGCGCAATGAAGCCAATGGGAAAGCGAGGTACCTATGTAGGGACGTGTAAAAACGTAAAAGCCGTTTTTTTTTTTTTTTTGCACGAGCTATTCTGCAAATAAAAATAAGTAAAAAGGACTGCCCGAGATTTTGCCGTTGCGTGCATTTCTTCAGCGCCGAAAGAGAAGAGCATGGCTTATGGAGATTATACCGGCATAATCACTGCAGTGCGCAAAGGAGCAAAGCATTATTAAAACTGCCCGAAGAAACTTTCCTGCATCATCCACAGAATGCTCACAACCGTTGCACTCTGGGTCGATCTCATGACTTGTCATATACTCCCACAGAGTCGTCGTCAGCTCTGTATCTATTTGGAGTCTCCTTCACAGGCAAACAGGAAATTTCATTTGCAGCTTAGGTTCACGGCGGCTTCACAAAGGATGATCGGTGTCGCAGCGCACCTTCACGTAATATTTTTTTTCTCGTAATGCCATCCGTATCGTGCAGAAGCAGGGAAAGCAACGGCGCAAACGAGACACAAACACCACAAGGTCGTTACCGCGGTTTTCGCCATGTTTGTTTTCAAATACCGTAGCAAAAGACTTCGAGAAGACAAGGTGAGATATCTTAGCTAAATTTACTTTACGTCATAATTATTGAAATAATCTTTCGTATTTTATCAAAGGATAATATTATTTTTCTCTGTTTCCTTCCATTTTCCGGAAGGTAGCCTTTTCTCCGTTATTCGTTCGTTTTAACTCCCGGAGGAAAGAAAGAAGAAAACAAAAAGAACAGGGGGAAATGCGGGGATTTCTGCGCCCCAACTGCGTGGACACGTCATCGCGACGTATAGGGGATCGTCAGATTTTAGCTGACCGCGTGCGTGAACCCGAACGTTGGGGCGGAGCCTCAAACAAGAATCATTCTAGTTTGAGGCTCCGCCCCTTCCTTCTCGATACGTCACAACTCGAAAGGTACCCGTTTGCGACCAGAATAGCACCCCTGGGAGTCCAAAACGTGCAATATAGACGCTTTACACACGCGCCAAATTACAGCCGCCATTGCTGACCTTCTCTTGTCTTATCGAGATGCCGAGCAACTGAAACGGTCGTTGGCGATTCTCTACAAAGGCCGATGCTTTAGAAAAGGACACAGTTGAATCTAATATGGCAACAACCTGGCGTGCTATGGTAATGATGAAGTGAAATAAACGAAATAAGAGGAAGCAAAACTGAAGGTCAGTTATGGCGGCGTCCATGCACAGCTGCTGCAAAGCGTCTATAGCCCCCCTGGTGCCTTGGTGGTGGCAGCTTCTACTTTGACTGGCCTACCTCTTTGGAGCCTGATGCTTCGACCGCAGTGGACCCAACTGGGCAACAGCGCCATAATGTTCCGGAGGCTGCTTCATGCACCGATCGAACGGCGTGCCAGGGGTGCTATGTTGCGCTTTTTGGACTCCCAGGAGACAAGGGAGAGGGAAGTGACGTCAACGACACAGCAAGCGCAGATTGGGTGTTGATTTCGTTTTCTTCTGTCAACATCCAATCTGCGTTTGCTCTAGTCGTTGACGTCACTTCCCTCTTCCAAGTCTCCTGGGAGTCCAAAAAGCGCAACATAGCACCCCTGATTCCCCAGCTCGCTTCTCACCCGCCCAACCTGTCTCCACGAAATCTGGACTTCTGCGAACCGGACTGCCATCCTCCCCAATACCAACAATCCATGTCGTCGTCATAATGCATGTACAGGGTGTCACAAAAGAAAATTTACACGGTCTTTTTTACCACAAAAGTAAACTAGGCATCGCCGAACGCTCATTCTCCGCCCAAAGGACACAACCAGATGCCAAAATTTCAGCCCGATCCGATAACTTAATCAAAAGTTATAAGTGATTTTCTGAAAATTTCAATGGGAAAATGGAGCCCGTTTTTGCCCGTTTTCGGTTTCTGGTGCCATAGAGCCATCTTGGGTGAAACCAGCTGAACAAAGGAAGGAAAGTGACGAGGAGAAAAGATTGGCGAACCGACCGCTGGACTACCAACTGTTGGTAGTCCAGCGGTCGGTTCGCCAATCTTTTCTCCTCGTCACTTTCCTTCCTTTGTTCAGCTGGTTTCACCCAAGATGTCTCAGAACCAACTAGCTCAGCTTTTACCCTTAGTAAGCCATAGAGCCGTTTGAAAACTCGGTCGACCGCCATTTTCTCATTGAAATTTTCAGAAAATCACTTATAACTTTTGATTAAGTTATCGGATCGGGCTGAAACTTTGGCATCTGGTTGTGACCTCTAGCGCTACCTTTGGGCGGAGAATGAGCGTTCGGTGATGCCCAGTTTATTTTTGCGGTAAAAAAGACCGTGTAAATTTTCTTTTGTGACACCCTGTATATACTTATGACATTATCATGTTCACTATACTCTGTTTCATACTTAGCGTGCAACGCTGTGAAAGCTACTGGCGCGAGCGTGGGGCTTGATCTCGCTGATCATTTGCACGCGTTCTCGCGCAAACGAAACCATAGATGAAGCCACGCGCTCGCGCCAGTAGCTTTGACAGCGTTGCACGCTAAGTATGAAACAGAGTATAGACGCGGCACCGCGGGCCTCCATGGTACGTGCTGGTGCCTTTCCGCGGGGCCGCGGCTCTCCATAGCCAAATAAATAAAGTCTAAAGACTAAACACAGACTTCTTTGCTGATCAACAGTCGGTAGCGCCTTAAAAAAAATAACAATAGTGTTCCCCCGTTTATAGAATAAAAATTCCAAAGCTACACCATACCAGTGGCGCACATCAGTGAAATAACATAAACAAAACAGAAAATGAGATGGTCTGTTGAACGCACGTGCACGTGCGTTCAACAGACCATGGAGGCCAGATGTGCTACGAAGAATTTATCCAGAAAAAAGATTAACATTCATAATCGTAAATTAACCATGTGTTGTGTTTGAAAAGGGACTAATGTTTTATATAGTGCTTTTTACGACCGCTAGTGGCGCTGTCATAATCGCAGTACCGTAGCACGCAGAGAACGGTCTACGAAAGCGCTTTTTTGAATCTCCGCTATACCTCTGTTAGCGGGTCTCGTAGCGGGTAGCGGATATTGTTGCGGAAAGGCCAAAACGATGTACGAAAAGTCCCTAGTAACTCCCTGTGCATGTAGACGATCAAAATAATAGTGATATTAATTTCATTTCCACGTTTGACATTGGAACAAAGGGTAAAAGCCTCAACGGAGGCTTGACTAGCCCTTAACACCACACATTAAGCTTTGCAGCAAAAAAAAAAAAAAAAAGAAGAAAAAGTTATACGTTAACATTATTAAATACGAGCACTGTTGTTTCAAGCAACAAAAAAAAATATCCGAAAAATACGGAAAAAAATACACCTTATCTAACAGACAGTTCTAGCACAAACAAACCATGCACAAAAAGTTGAAATGAGTAGCCAAAGTCAATAATACAGAAAAAAACGCAGGTCTTTGTAGGAGATATTGTCTAAGCAAGGTTCTTTTTTTTCATAAGGAAGTTTAACAGTTTAGGTATAGTGTATTGTAGCATTTGATTACCATATTCAGTACGACAAGGTACGACTCTGCAATATTCCATGCGTCTGGTAAAGTGAACGAGTTGATTTGGTGTAACTACTGCAAGTTTTGAGAGGGATTTATATCGTTTTCTTATTTCTAGTTTTAAACTCGGGCATAACCTGCATCCGCAGAGGTAATGCATTTTCAGCACTTCAAATTTCTCAAACTGACTATCGCTGTATGAAAATCATAAGTCATATTATATATTATTATTACTGTTGTTATATTTTTTAAAGTCCGATTTGCAATAAGTATTGCATTACCTTCTCTCCTCATGCACATGTGCGAAGATGCTTGTTTCGCGATCAAAACACCACCCGCTAGGTCGAAATTTTTGAAAATGGAAGCGAGAAAACGGTTGCCCGATAAAGACTGCCGGCATAGAAAATAATAAAAAGATACACCCTTTCATAACCCAGGTATTTTATTCTTTACGTTTTGAATGTTTTAACCACTCGTGAAGATACACGACGGGGTCATTTTCGTATGTATGTGACTATGTTGGCATATTATATGGGCGTCACCGGAAAGCTGGCGAACCTTGAACGCACACTACATTTCCTTTGATTATTATTTTGCTGCGATTCGTCACTCGTGTTCACACACATTCTGTGGAACACAGGTATGGTCCTGAAATAAAGCCAAGTTTCACAACGTTCATTCATGAAGAAAAAATGCCGCAACTAAAGCAATTACACTTCCACAATGTTAATAAAGGTACATATTATCCGGTACGCTTTTTTCGCTTCTAAGTAGTGGAGGAACGTTAAAAAGAAAGAAGTTAAAAATAGTAAAGCAAAAAATAAAATTAGAGATTAGTTTTTTATACAGCGGGAGGCTATCCTGCCAGAACATGGCGACATTGTTACCCACTGTAGATGAGAAATTTTGCCATTGCAGTACGACTGCTAGCCTGGGGTCTTGTCCCTAAAAAAAAAAACAAAAAAAAAACAGTAACAAATAAGTCGTTAGTTGTTAATGCAGGGGAAGTTTAATCTGCCAGAACATGGCGACACTGTTACCCTATGTATATGAGAAATTTACCCAGTGCAGAACGACTGCTAGCGTGGGCTCTTTAACGTGCATCACGCTGTAGTGATACACAACCGCACGCCGGCAGGATTCTCATCCAGATCGAGACGGGCAAGGGTGGGTATTGAAACCAGGGCCCCTGGGTTCTGCAGCGCGTGCTTTCGTTTCACGTGCTCCAAGCTGGTGTGCGCTTTGGTGTGCACTAAACCACTCTGACTTAAAATTAACTGTTGAGCTAGTAAACATCTCAAATACAAAAGCGCAAAGGACAAAGACAGAACAGGAAAAGCGCTCGTCCTCTTCGTATCTTTGTTCTGTCCTTGTCCTTTACGATTTTTGCACTGAAGACCACACGGACGCCGATCCCGCCTCCCTCAAAAGAATATGTTTGAAGGTTACGATGAACGAAGAAAAAGAAGTGCTGAAGGTCATCAGAGATGGAGTCCATCATCCTCAACAACGGAATCGCTATGCCGACGCTTGGGTTTGGAACTCGACAGGTATGCGTAATGACGACGATAAGTCGGCGAAATGCTTGCTCGATAACTGGGCATTGGTAGTATAAGTTATAGAGTAGCAAAGAAAAGGCGAATCAAGTTTCAGCTGATTTGTGTCCCTCGAAGGAGGGGTCGGGAACGCTATAACACACAGGTAAGAATGCCAGAGGTCTGAATTTGCAACTTCTAACTAAAGAGGCAAGTGAAGTGCAGGCACTGCACGCGAGTGGCTACGTTAGCGCTCACTGTTCAGCGGACGCTCGTCTTTAGTTAGTGAGAACACGAGTGAACGTTCACGCAGCATTTGTGTCCAGACCGCTATTCCCACTTTAGTTGACGTTGAAAATTCAGCCCTCCGGCCTGGAAGTTGGCTGACTTAAAGAAATGATTTAGGGAATGGCAGACGAGGGGGTAAAAATGTCCCCGGGAAAGATGTACCCGGAAAAAAAAAAAAAAAAAAAGTCCCCAGGTGGGAAGTAGGAAAAAAATGTCCCCACAGAATCCTCTATATCTGGATTTCCCGGATCCTCATGGCCTTCGGGCGGTCCGGTCATATGTTCTTGGGTAAGCTTGGGAAAGCAGGAAAAAACGGCCCGTTTCAAATAAGGGAATATACGATTCCCCGAGGTACACATCGCGACGCTGTTAGCGCAAACACGACGTCAGCGCACTTTCACATTTACTTAGAAAGAGTATTGGTAGGAACGAAATTTTGCCGTCTGCATTGTATCCCCAAATAAGCACTTTCAGTACCTATGATAACTTTGATGACAACCTTTCGTTTCTACAAGCAAAAAGAGAAAAAAAAAAAAAAAACTAGCGATCGCTTGTTTTTGCTAACAGTGTCGCTCTTTTTACCCATTTTGAAATGGTATAGACAAGTACCTCTCAAATTTCCCTAGACACAATAATTTGGTTTTGGTTAAAAGTGTTTTAAATGTTTATTTCACAATGAAAAAGAAAACAAAAAAAAAAACCACACACACAGACAAAAACAGTAATTTGTTTTTTTGCAAACACAATAATTTGGTTTCCAAAATACCCCACAATAGATTACTTCGGTTGCTTTGTGTGACTTCCAGTCTACCTTTTTACCCCTAGGTGGGCCAGGTCATTTGTGACCAGACAATGACAGGACCGCCCGAAGGCCATGAGAATCAGGGAAAACCCCAGCGAAGCACCATTTTTCCTACTTTCCACCTAAGGCATTTTTTTCCGAAAACATATTTTCCGGGGAGTTTTTTTTTTTTTTTTTTTCGGGGGATTTTTTTTTTGGGGATTGTTTTTACGGGACTTTTTTTCCGGGGACATTTTTTGGGGCGTTTTTTTTCAGGGACATTTCTTACGAAACCCCAAACAAGTTAATGGACGAAGTATTTGACTCGTAGGGGTTCACCATATGTGAGTATGTTTACGAAGTTTGGGCATAAGAAGAAGTGGACTTACGCTGCATTCACACTGACGTTCAAGTCGCATCCGCAACGAGGACCTGCTCTTTTTCATTATCCAACTCGCGTTTATTTGTGCTGCTTCTTTAAGCAAGCGCGTTGCGTTGCTTGGGTTGTCAACTTTTCTTCGCGGGGTCGGTGGCAGTTCGAGGAGGATCTCGCCAAGCTCGAACTTTCGGTCGAGACGGCGGTCCGGGCTGGTTACCGGCACATCGACACCGCCTACTCGTACCACTGCGAGGCCAACGTTGGAGCGGCGCTGAAGAGGCTCTTCGCCAGCGGAGTCGTCAAGCGACAGGAGCTCTTCATCACCTCCAAGGTACACCCAAATACTTCACTTTGGTACACCTAACCTGTGTCATAAAATGGCAGCTTATAAGACCGAACCCTCTGCAGCTTACAAACAAGGGCGCGTTTCAGCGTTTGCCTGCACGAGGTGTGGGCACTGCGCCTGCGCGGAAACCAGAATCGCGTGAAGTGAAGTGTCTGTACATGGCCCGTTCTGACAACAGCGCCACCACAGTAACGCGACGTCATGGCCGTGTGTTGGTGTATACTCGTGTTTACCTCAAGAACCGTAAGAAAAAAAAAAATTGAAAGCCGTTCACAAATCTCTGTAATGCGAAATTAGAGCGCAGCTCTTGAGGTATTATGATTGTGCGATACACCGTGACGGGAAGGTACGCAGGAGGAGGGGTAGGGGAGGGTACGAAAGACGAAAGGAGGGTAAGGGTAAGGAATAGGGGTGGGTACGGAGGAGGAGGAAGGGGAGGAGGAGAAGTGGAGGGTACGGAGGACCCTCCCTCCTTCTCAGAGGCACCTTTGTACAACACTACGCACATACAGCTAGACTGCTTTCTGACGCATAGATGTGTCCGGTGACCCTGTTTCCTTTACTGTCCTAAAAAGAATTTCGTACCTGTTACGCGTAACGGGCGTCAGGGGCAGTGCCAGACTTGTACGTAACGTGTTACAAGTAATGGATTACTTGTAAGAGATTACATTTTTCTGTCAATTTGTAACGCTTCAATTACTTCCTTTAAGGAGTAACGATCCTTGTAATTGAATTACTTTTCTGCTGTTATAGATTACAAAATTACCCATTACAATTTTTCTCAATTTCAATTTTTTTTTCTCTTTTTTAGGGAAGGGGGGGGGGGGGGGGGGAGGGGTTAGATGTGCTGGATTCATTGAGCTCTGGGCAACGGTCAATTTTTTTTTCTTTTTCTCTTTCGAAATTACATAGCACGGGACCTCGAGCATTAGTAGGCCACTTGACTATGCTTCGTTTCCGGGTACAATATTTTTTTTGGTACACCGGAGACTACGTCCAGGTATGAAAAATTACCTCAGCGATTGGGTGTGTTTGCGTCACACACTCAGCACTAAGCAAAAACAAGTAGGCTTTTTTTTTTTTTTTCGGACCAACTGAGCGTTAGATTCCAAGGATTATGCTACCATAATAAAGAAAGTTAAATGATAAGTAACGTGAGAAGTAATCGATTACTTTAGAGTACTTTTTCAATTACTTTTTTGAGGCTGTAATTGTAATTGTAATCGGTTACTTTTTACAGTGAAGTAATTGTAATTGTGATTGGTTTCTTTTTTCAGTAACGTGTACAAGTCTGGCAGTGGCTGACAAGCGAACCGTGCATTCATTTTTGCTTAGCGGTTGAAGAAACATTTTGCTTCCTATTGTTATTCGCTGTAATCGACAATTATACATGTTCCCTCTGGAAGGGGCTATTCCCTCCATATCGTTTCTAGCACAAAGTTAGCCCCCCTCTTTTTTCTTTTTTTTTTCCTGCGGCTCCCGGAACTTTTGTAGTTTTGCGTGCGACTCTTACCCCTGGTCTCTCTTGCGCCACTCCCTTACGCGATATATTCGGTGCCTTTTCTCACACACAAAAAACAAACAAAACAAAAACGGTACTCAAATGAACCTACTTGAACGTGACACATTTAGCCTCAAATAGTAGCCAAGATAGTTCCGCGCAAACAGGAACAATGTGAACTCACGAGCGCCTTTTTGGACCGCCCCAGCTTCCGAGGATAGCTCACTCCAGGGACAAGGTGTGGTATTATCTGCACAAGTCCCTGGAAGACCTCATGCTCGACTACATCGACCTGTACCTAATTGAATTTCCGGTTCCTGGCCAGGTACGTAAATAAGGATATTCGAGTTGTGTGTTTGTTTGGACAGCGGGAAGGGCAATCAGCCCCAATGGGTGTATGTTTTTCGGCCCTCATGAAAGGTTAGTTGCCTGACCGGTGAATAGAGGGCGCTGGCGCGCCGGACGCCATTAGGTCGCTTCAGTTTTGTTGGTTTCGGTTTCAACGTGAACGCGAAACACACACACAAAAAAAAGCTCAACCAATGCACTAAGATAATTACCATTGTCTACGGCTGTACTCGCTAGCACTAACTTCCCGCAAAAAAAAACAACAAAACGAAAAAAAAAAAAAAACGAATGATGCATCGTGAACAAGTGTGTCCACAACCTGGATTAACAATGTATTGAATCGCGAAAAACAGATGAACTGGTTCTGCTTACTGTATGGTTCTCGTGGACGCTAACGTTTTGTGAACTGCGCAGACTAAAAAAGATCTCCATAAGGCAGAGAATGTAAAAAGAAGTGATATTGTAGAGGCTTGCTCTCTTCGAATAAATTACTCGAGAAATATTGGGTAGTCTAACATAGGCCGAGTAGAAAATTTGTTTAACAATCTGCTCCGCCATAAGAGCATTTCGCAATATTGGCCCTATGAAATAAACTATTTGTTGTATGGGCATTTGCTTACAACGTACTGAAGACGTTCTGAAGATAGAAGTGACAGGCCCGTCAAAGGAAGTCTGACACTTCCGTAGAATTTGTGAAATAAAATTGAAGGGCGCAAGAGAAGCGACCTTCGGCAAGTTCGGCTGAAATCGAACTCCAGGCGCCACTCCGTGGACCTGTGTAGACAGATTTATTTGTCTGAACAGGTGCGCTTTGTAGAAATCGGCGTCGCCAACAAGTAAAAGCAAATACCTATTAGCTATTGACGACGCTGTGATCGGGTAGTTTTTATGCAGAGGGCTTCTAGTCGGCGCCATACTGCAGATCCCCAGGCACTTCAGCTGTTCGCGATGGTACCTTACGCGGGGAGCCCCAACTTTTGTGTTGAAATAATTAATTGAATTGAACTGGTTATCTTGAAAAAATTTAAAGCACTCGGAATATTTCAGACATATATGGAACCGAGCACAGTATGCAGTATCTTGAAATTCATAAATAAACCGATCAAACGAATTTTAGTACCGAAAAAAAACAACGATCAGGGTGTCAAAACATGTATAGATGTGATATTATGAATAAATATTTGCCTGAAGTGGGCGTGCTGTTATTTTTAGCGTGAGATACTGTTTTATATAAAAATGCAAGTTAAACGTTTGTCAGTCATCTTCACGAGTTACCCAATGCAATCAAAAGCAACTGTTTTCGACCCGTTATTATTACAAAGCACAATGGCTTCAAGAAACACGGATAGTGACAGCTTAGCCCAATTATATGCGAGATCGAAAATACTATGCCGTAAACGAATTTTCGCGTTCTAAGTAATTTGCGAATCTGGGGGTGGGGTGCGGGATGGAAAAGCGGAGCGACGAGCTGAAGCAACCTAATGGCGGTCGCATTTCACGTGAATCTCAGATGGCAGCAAATCTGACATTCTGTGTGATCACGTAACGCCAGCGTTGGTTATAAAATGCAGATGATTGAGGACATGACGTTACCTGAGACCAGGAATCTCCAATACGCGGCCCGCAAGCGGCCCGCTGCTCCCAGCCCCCATTCCCATGCCTCGAGATTATAGTTTCCTATCTTTGATTCACTTCCGCTTGAAAAGGAGCTCTGCTCGTGTAACGTGTTCGCAGATTTTTCACTGTTTTGTTTTGTTTTAGATCGAGTATTACATCGCCTAAATATTTGCTTCTTTTTCACACGGAAATCAACTGGAGCGGCAATACTAGTGCTAGGTTACGAGCGCGAGCTCTTTTCTCAAGGAGGTTCTTCGGTTGCACGAACTCTCGCTCAGCAGGAACAACTGCAAAAGATAAAGCTATGAGCTGGGGCTTCTAGCTGTCAAAAAATACCTTTTAAAATACAAGTGTTTTCTTATAATGCGGTTATAGAAATCATTAGGAAATAAAAAAAAAAAACTTTATGACGAGATTTTTCTTTGTGATGCCTGTTGGGTCTAGTGAAGTATGCGACTGGACAAGGACGTTGTGCTTGCTCTTGTTCTATTGAAAATTGACAGCACTTTAGTGTTTTAAAACATTGTTATAACATCGGGTGTGGGCCCAAATTAGTCGTATACGCAAATAAAAGCTCAAGTTGTCAAGACTGTGAGCTTACGAAAGGCAGAGAGCACAAGGTTCCTTCTTTAGAACATATGTGGAGTGTCACTGGGACAGTCGGCTGCTTTCAAGGTAAAACACCATTGCTGCTCTTTTTTTTTGTGCAAAAATAGCAAACTATCCCCGTTGGCCCTTGACCTTTCGCAGGTGAGCTATCCGGACCGCACACTGGAATGCCCGCAGCCTTAAATAAAAAATAAAAAAAGAGAAGTTTTTATGAGCAGACGTGCACCTAGACCCAATATATTCGTCTATCCGAACAGTGGCGTTGCTGTAGTCTGTAACATTTAATATAAAAATATCTTATCACTAGGACAAAATACAATATTGTCTCTTTTCCCGACAAGGTTCATGTTCTCAAACTTTCGCGTTCTATCATCATCGCTATATCATAGATTCGCACGGAGTTTCAGCTTTCTGCGACCGTCCGTATAGTTTCTTCATGCAAGCCAAAAAAAAAACGGGTTTTCTTTTTTTTTTTTTTTGTGTGTGCCGGGCCTTGTAAGATGGAGACGATCGCCAAATGTGATTTTCAACTCATGGTATTTCCTCTTTTTGCCTCAGCCTGGTTTCCTCAAGCGAGGCTCCCAACTGGTAGGCTGCCTTCAACCTTTAGATCTGAATTTACCTCGCAGGTGATGATCGTGGTCTCTTGGGTTTGTGCCGTTCAAACGAACCCTTTAAAAGAGCGCGCGCCATATATACGTCGTCTCATCCTTCGATGGACTAAAGGCCAAAGCCACGGACCGCCAGGTCCACTCACGTTCCACGCTAAACTATGACGCAATTAGCATTGACTAGGTTTGAACGAATAATGCTCCGAATTCAAAAACGCTGCGTCATTTTTATAGCTTCGACACTGCAAAGGGCCAGTACGTCGTGGCTTTCTTTACAGTGTAAAATCGTTGAGTCACTCATTGCTCAATCCGAACCAATGTCCGCCAATTCCCATCAGTGATCCGAGACGCGGGCACCGCGATGCGTGTATCGAAGCGAAATCCCACGCAATGTCTAAGTGGCTCGTGACTGGATCTGGCAATTTGTAGCTTCTTTAGTCCATCGTAGGGTGAAACGAAGTACAGTGGCTGCAGCGCCAATTGTCCGAGTTCGGTATTGTTTGGGCATGTCCTTATTGGACACGAGGGCCTCGTCAGCGTTCGGCGAGGATCCAATCACAGGCTTCGTGCACAAAAAAATGGCGACCGCTAATGTTGCTTGACGGGGTTTCGAGAAGGGTCTAAATGTTGATGAGATTTGGTGCAATAAATTCAGTGATTAGGGTGAGATAAAGGCGGCATTTATCGGGGTGATATATTCACTGACAGCTTAAAAAAGTGAAGAGCGTGGCGTGTCCGGCGCATCTCATTATCGCTCGCAGCCAATGAGATTTAGCCGATAAAAACGCGGGAGAGCCAATCACAGAGCGCGAACATTTTAAGCTACGCCCTCCGTTTCTTAAGCCGTCCATGACAACCGGGCGCGCAAACCGCGGCAAATAGAGGCGGGCAAAAACGACTGAATAGAAAACATACAAAAAAGTAACATTCTAATAAAAAGAAAGAAGAAACCAACGCATTGCAAGTTGCAACAAATACCGAGAATCGTCATTCTCTGAAAACAACAATTGTTGAGGTCCACTTACTATAAATTAGGTCATATATATATATATATATATAAAGGAACAAATGCAGATGAATGAACCGTACTTAATCCAATGAATCAAAGAATCAAAGTATTCAGGGACCCGCCGAAAGCCATTGGATTAAGTACGGTTCATTCATCTGCGTATACACTCTAATAAGAAGCCCGTGAGTCTGCTTTCCCGCACAACACTCAGAGAGCCAATCAGCGCAACTTACGGAGGCAGCTCAGCGAATGGCGATGCCGAAACATCTGTTTAGACCAAAAAACGCAGTCTGAGTTGTGACATTAAACAATGCAAAACGTCACGCTTGCATTGCTTAATGTCACAGTCTGTGTTTTTTGGTCTAAACAGATATTTCGGCATCGTCATTCGCTGAGCTGCCTCCGTAAGTTGCGCTGATTGGTTCTCCGAGTGTTGTGCGTGAAACCAGACGCACAGATTTTTTTAGAGTATATATGTTCGTTTATATCCTCCTCGGAGACCACGTACGATGGCGTGAAGTGCCCGTGTTGTATATATATATATATATATATATATATATATATATATATATATATATATATATATATATATATATATATATATATATATATATATATATATATATATACAGGCCTAGGTGTTTCAGAGAACGCAGGCCAAATCGCTCCTGAGAAAACTACTCATCACAACGAAAAAAGGCTTGCGGCGTTTTGGTGATGGGCCAGGGGCCCTTTAAGGAAAAATATTAAAGTCCAGGATATTAAGTTGTTAATTATATTTGCGTAATTAACGTTTTTAATATTGTGTTTAAGGGCATTGTTTAAATTAGAAAAATTGCTCAGCATCATCGAAAAGTACTGAATCAACAAATTGCAGAACGACAGAAGGCACACGAAGCATTTTACGGCTTTCTGAAAAACCGCACAAATTCGACAAGTTTTTAAGTTTTGGTTTGCTATCGGAGCGCATCTCAGCCCCGGCGGCACCGCGCCCCGTGGAGAGATAGTGCAACCAACCTCTGCTGCGCTGTCATCGCGCAGCAAAGCTTGGTTGCACTATCTCTCCACGGTATTCCACGGTTCGTTTATAGACACACGCGCCAGAATACAGCCGCCATTGCTGACCTTCTCTTGTCTTACCGAGATACCAAGCCACTAAAACTGGTGTGGACGAGCCTCCACAAAGGCCAATGCTGGGGAGAAAGACAGAATACAATCTAAAATGGCAATAACCTGGCCTGCTATGGTAATAATCAGGTGAAGTAAACGTAATAAGGGGAGACAAAACTGAAGGTCAGTTATGGCGGCGCCCATGCACAGCTGCTGCAAAGCGTCTATATATATATATATATATATATATATATATATATATATATATATATATATATATATATATATATATATAGACGCTTTCGCGGTAAAGTGTATATATATATATATATTGGGGCGCGTTTGGCGCGCGTATCGATAGATGGCGTCGGGAGCAGCGTCGGAAGGTCTAGCCGACCAGCGAAATAAAGCAGACGACACGCAGACGAAATCCGTCGGTAGCAAAAACGCCATCGTTAAGCAACCTCGTTTTTTTTAACTTTAAAGTTCTGTTTTTATTTTCCGCATTTATTTTTAAACCAAAGATGCATAGAATAAAATATTCTGTTGATTTTAATAGACCACGGTCGTCGTGAGCAGTTTCTATAAGGAGGCAGCGCCATCTATCAATATGTGCGCCACACGCTCCCCGCCACTCGACTCGGTTGTCCGCGTCGCCGTCCGCCGTTGACCCTGGCAAGAGTTTTGGACTTACTTTTTTTACAGAAAGGAAGCTACGCTTTGTAATTTTACATTATAAAACCGACCTCTGAAATATAGGCTTGACGAGAAGTTCAGATTGCTACGTGCAGGCGACGATTTTTACGGTGCACTTTAGATCGAGCCTGGTTATTTCAGCCACCCTATATGTTAGGGTCTGATAAGGTGTCACAGCTATATCACTGTGACTATACCGTTGATTCACACACGATTGCTCTTATTTTTTTTTTAAGTGTATACGGAGCGCAAGTTCGTCTGCTTCTTTTGCAGGAGTTGTGGTGACGTCAGAATGCCGAGCTCTAGTTGGCTCTGATCAATGGATAATAGGTAGGCCTCAAAGGGCCTTGAGGTCTACCCACTTTATTTCAATCAGCGCCAATCACAGCTCGGCGTTCTGACGTCACCCCAACCCCTGCAAGAAAAGCAGACGAACTTGCGCTCCGCATACAGTTTTAGATTTCCCTATACTTTTTCACAGCAGACTCGCCATCACATAGTGGGCGCAAATGTTCAACAAGGGTGTTCCGCAGATCCTGAACGAAAGGGACGCCGATCCTGCCATGACGACCTCCGTCGACCTCATGGAGACGTGGTCGGTGAGCGTGCTGGACCAATACGCCACTGCGGCGATGCTGACGCGAGCTGGTGCTTCGTGTATGCGGAGCGCAAGTTTGTCTGCTTCTTGCACAGGGGTTGCGATGGTGTGAGAACGCCGAGCTCTTATTGGCTGCTTAAAAAAAAAATAGTGGGTGGACCTCAAGGCATTTAGCACTTAGGTCTACTCACTATCCTTTCAATCAAAGCCAATCAGAGTCCGGCGTCGTTCTCACGTCACCACAACCCCTGCGCAAGAAGAAGACGACTTGCTTTGTTTTGTTTCGGGGGGGGGGGGGGGGGGGGGGGGGGGGGCGCCTATGATAAAATGCTGTATGAGGGGGAGGGGGAAAGGAGGTCCCACCAAAATGGAAGATTCCGGGGGGGGGGGGGAAACCCGGGCCCCATGCCCTCCCTCCCCCCCCCCCCCCCCCCCCCCCCGCCCCCTGCCCCCTGGCTACGTGCCTGCTCGTCATACACTAATGATGGCGTTTGAGGGGAAAGGGAGGAGGTCTTGTCTTCAAGGTAGCACTGTCTGAACCGTACGGTAAACGGTCGTAGTTCATAAACTCACGAGAGTTATTTTTAGGGCATGGAAGACGTGTTCAACGGTCGCATTACCCGAGCCATTGGACTGTCCAACTGCAACTGCAAGCAGCTCAAAAGGATCTACGACTGTTCTAAAATCAAGCCTTGCAACCTCCAGGTTCGACGCCGCATTCAGTGTCCTTTCCCTAGCACGCGGGAACGGAGACAATGCAAAGAGCAAGTCTTCTGCTTCTTGCACAGGAGTTGCGGTGACGTCAGGAGGACGGCGAGATCCGATTGTTTCTGACAGAAAAGATAGTGTGTAGACCTTAATGCCATATGCCCTGAGGGGTATACCCACTATATTTTTTTTTATCAATCAGCCAATAAGAGCTCGGTGTTCTGACATCATCGCAAGCCCCGAGCAAGAAGCAGACAGACGTGCTCTGCGCATAGTGAACAAAGTGCATTAGAAGACGAACCAATTAAAACCAACAAGCAGACTCTTCGCGTTGTCGTTTGCACGTGTCCTTTGCCTCTGTCTAGTGTAGTCATAAACCTAAGTCCCGTTCACACACTTGCGTTTCACTACGACCGAATGAGACGAGACCATTTTTTTTTAAGCCTCTTGAGACGGCTTGCGACCGCCTGCATCGCTGCGCTGCCTGTCATAAGCCTTCACAAAAGGCTTAATAACCGGTCTCATTCGGTCGTAGTCGAAGGCAAATGACATGTGAACGGACCTTTACGACTGCATGTTGGCAGCTTGTACTCCTACCATGCATACAAAAGGAAGTGTTCTAAATATGGTCCTCTCCAGAAGAGACATTCTACCAGAGCGTGGTGCTAGAGGATTTTTGTTTTTTGTCGCAAATACAATATATACTCCCAATTTTCGAACTTCCTTTATCATTTCAAGATGCTCTTGTCTCTCAGTGAAAACTTCTAAAAAAAGTATAGGAGCGTAAGCACCCCCTTGGAGACATATGTTCCTTTAAAATAACTGAGAAGAAAAAGACAGCACCGCTTCTATCTTTGCTTTTGCGGAGTGCAACCGATTCTGATAGAATAGCCTTCTAGATACGCAAGGTACGCAGCTTGTCTAGCTTATCTTCTATTCTGTGACCTCCACAGTGGGGCGCGCACTCTTTTAGTCAGAAATGTAGAATCGCAAGCGTCAGCAAGACGACTCGTAATTATTTTGTTGCGTAATTACAGGTGCAATGGATAGATGTTCGCCCCACAAGAGTGGCAAAAAATATACTATTCCCATCCGCTCCAAATACGCATTTGTAGCAACTCATTCCTACGTCTTGAGCGTTGCCAGTTGCTCACATACGAACATTTTAGTAAAATACGCGAATCAATGGAAGGGTGTTAGAAAAAAAAAAAGACATTTTGTTTGGTTGGGAAACAAGCATTGGCGCCTGTCCCGCTATAGGATTAAAGTTGTGACGACAGTTTGCTCCAAAGTACATTATGCGAAGCTGAAGTTCGCCTGCTTCGTTTGCAGGGGTTGTGGTGACGTCAGAAAGATGCCGCGCTGTGATTGGTTCAGCGCCAAATTGCATCGTCAGGACACCCGTCGCTTTTGTGGGTGTGTCATCACCGACGAAGCCATTTACGCACAGCGAATACGTCGCGAACCGGCAGTTTTTTTTTTCTTTGTGTGATTGGCTTAGCCATTGATGTGACATACCCACAAACACAACAATCACCTTTATGATAAACTTTCTGGCGCCACCCAATTTGATTCACCGGGTTGTTGCGTCAGTTATGGTCAGACTTAAATTGAAACAGATACCAACGAGACACACGGGACCTTGTTACTTTTAATGAAAAAACAACAACAAAAACCCGCCCTCCTAAAGTTTGTTGTTCCGAACCAGTGTTTATGAGGAGAACGCATACACATAAAAATAAGAAGGGAACCATCCAGCGTTCAGAATGTCACATGACGCGACTCGTGCAGATCGAGTGCCACTTGTACATGGCCCAGAACAAGACGGTCAGCTTCTGCAAGAACCACGGCGTCGCGGTCACTGCCTACGCTCCGCTTGGGAAGACCAGCGGCGTGCCCGGATTGTGAGACACTTTGTGAGACGTATATGGGCGGATAAGGCGCTATCGGTGAACATGCTTAATGGGTAGCATGTTTGTTAACACGCTGTAGTTGGCTACGCGTTTCGACTGCTGTGTTTACATAGTCGTTTAGCCCACTGCCCTTTCGAAAGTCACATGCCGATTATTAGAAGGTCGGAAACACTGCCCAATGGCGGAACGACTGATATCGTGGAACCTGCGAGTCATTCCATAAGAGAGTGAACGTCGGAGCGCGGTCAACGATGGAAGCCGACGTGCCCATCAAACAGCTTCGAAAGTGCAACGTCACTGCACTCGTCACCTTTCTCTGTGAACTGTGAATGTTCTTTTCTAGCTTCTAACCTAACCTAACACATAAAGTGTGCCGGGACGTAGCGTCCATCGTACAGGGATTCCATAGCTACCAACAGAGGGCAGTCTCACGAAAGGGTTCTATACGCTCCGTGCGGGAACTATAGGGGGCGCTTTGAAAAACGCGCGCAGCGCCGCTAGCCGAGGAGCTGGCGTTCGACAGTGAGGCGCGTTCAGCAGCCTGCGGCGCCTTTTCGCATGCCAAGCTGTGGCGGCGGAAGCGCGCACGGACGAAACTTTTGCTTTTTGAGTCGATACGTTGAGGGTGACGTTGCATGAGTGCTGGGGCAGAAGGGCATTTAGCTGTGCTCCACTTCTTATATATTGAGTTTGAGTCGTTATTAGGGGTAATTTTTCTAGTTGCGGCCGAAAAAGGAGTTGGAGCAATTTTCCGAAAAACAAGACGGCTGCCACCATAATTGGTCTGAGTGGGAAATTTATTTCGCTCGTCGCTGTAAACGTAGGACCGTTGGAACGATTATATTTGGAGGCGAGTGAGATGTTCACAAAGTTTGTGCACGAAGTGTGCCAAGTTTCATTAAGACAGCAGGTGTGAAAGTTATGTTTCTAACGAATAAAGCTGTACGGCATATCCAATATTGGACACAAAATGTTGTGTTATAGCGGGCTGTGCAAATGGAAGATTTGGGCACACAGGTGCTTGGACTTGACAGTAACATGACACAGTCCTTATTATGCCAAAAAGAGGCGGCATAGGAAAACCAGGTCGAAATTTGGTTTAGGCGGCGTAACTCAATGGGAACCGGTTTTGACCATGAAAGGGCTGTCAAGAGAATAACACTGGTCGTGGGAGGTGGAGACGTTTGATGTAGGAAGGGAATAGTGGACTGTACTTGCAATCGAAACAACTTTACGAAAGGTGGTTCCAAAGCTGAGAAAAAAAAGTTGCCGGCCAACACACGGTTTGGCCGTCAAGGGCTTTGCGGTCAGCTGAGGTGCTGATTTTCGGCGCACAGGTACTTTGACATGACCCTAACTTGACACAACACTTATTATACCAAAAAGAGTTGGCATAGCGAAACCAGGTGGAAATTTAGTTTGGCGGCGTAACTAAGTGGGAACTGGTTTTGACCGTCAAAGGCTGTCAAGATAATATTACTCATCGTGGGAGCTGCACACTTTACAGGTGGGGAGGGACCAGTGAACGGTACTTCCAGTTCGAACCACTTCGCGATAGGTGGCTCTAAAGCCGAGAAAAAAAATGTTGTCTAAGAACTCGGGGTGGTCAGCGTTTCCACATCCAAAAGGAGGCTGATCAAGAAAAAAAGCACACCACATAAACCTCAATACTCAAACGTCGATTCCCCATGATTCCGAGTTTCACTGTTGTTTCTTTAGATTTATATTTGTCACTTTTTTTTTACCATTTGAACCTTTCTACATGAAGTACAGATTGCGTGCCATACTTGTCCGGAAATATCATCGACACGTACAATGGGAACAAAACTTCTTTGGAGGGCATTCCTCCAACGAAATTGGCAATGCATACCCGCGAGTGTGGGATGGCATTTCAGTTCGTCCCATCGGCGCTCACACATGTAGGCGTCACTGGTACGAAAACAAACGAAGAGCACAAAGCGGCAGTCTAGAATATGTCAGGCGTGCCGACACAATGGCAGTCATGATCGGGAGACCAAATTTCTCGCGTCGTACGGCACGGGTCCGTCGTTGTCGCTTTCCCACAAAACATCCGCGAGGTGAAAAACTGTGAAACTTTGTCCCCACGAGATAAGACGCATAACTATTGAAGCACTCAATGACGCAGCACAGGCAGCACTTCATGCTGTGAACCCAGCGCAACCGCACCGCTCCGACTTCAATGCGTACCAACGTACGCGGCGCGGTTTCGGTTTCGTTTTCTGTGGGGTTCCCACTGCCTACCTTCGGTACCGGCCGCGCGGCGGCGCGCCAGTCGCTGAAAGAGGGCGAGAGAGAAAAGGGGAAAGGGCTACCGGCGTTTTCCCCCTTTCTGATTGTGTAGAAAGAGTGAAAGTCCCGGATGAGAGGCTTGGCCGGTGTTGGGTGTCTGCTGTGCCCCCCAACTTCGTTCGCGCTTTCTTTTCGGTTTTAAACTCGCAAACTTAGTTAGAGCCAGAGGCTTCGATGGCAACAGTCCCCCGGTCATCGGGACACCATTGCTGGGTCATAGGGTGCACGAATAAAAACAAAGCTTAGAATACTGTTCGAGGACATATGTAGCTGGCAAGGAATCCGGCAAGGCGAGAGCGGCTGCAATGTCTTTGAGCTCCATCGCTTTCCACATGACCCCTGTCTCCGGCGGCAGTGGATTGCGTCCGTAAACCGAAAAGGCGTTTCCTCAACGCCATCTTCTCGACTTCGCTCGGAACATTTCGTGAATGGAGCGCGCACCAAACGCTGTACCGCCGATGAACATGGGGTACGCTCGCAATGTGCGTGCGAGTTTTCTCATGATAACTGAAGTTTCAGCTCGTAAAATTTTGTAACTGAATTTGTCTTAATAGTGATAATTTGCAGTGGTGACTGACTCGATTTTATCATCTACAACACTTAGTTGAAGGCTCATTTCCGCCCCCGGGTGAGGCTGGAAATTGTTGAAAACGTATTTCTATTGTTTTTTTTTAGTCTTTTTTTTTTTTTTTAATCGCGATCTTCTGCGCGATACCAGCGAGCCGGCAAAAGCGTCCTTGGAGTGCCGCTGGTGGCTTGTTTCCTTTGACTAAGGCGCTTTGAGGTGCTTGATAGTCGCTGCAGGGAACGTCTCGTGTGTTGCGATCTGCGTTTTCGAGCCCAGTGTGCACGCTTCTTTGTTTGGGTCATGGCAACCGCCAGTGTGGCGACGGGGGGGGGGAACAGCGGCAGCGAACGTGCCAGCTATAGAAATTGGAGGTGAGTACCCAAAATATTGCATCAAATAGTAAGATAATTCGTGGCTGCTTCGAGGCTTTCTGCGGTTCGATAAAAGTACATCTGGAGCGTCTTCGTCGTTCATTCACAAGGAAATATAAGAACAGGGACACGAAGATAAAAACAGCAGAGCAAGAAGTTATGTAGCAGCTCAGGGCGTTTACAAAGTTAATTGAGTTTCCCGTTTCGTGTATAACTTGTTGATTACAACTAAAAGCGGCTACGTTGAAATAGGCCCATTGCAAGCAAAAATGTATAAATGGTTCATCATTTCCAGCCATGCGGAAAGCAATGGAGCTTAAAAACCTTCCGGCCATACTTGCCTTGCCGGATTCCATGCAAGCTACATAGGTCCTCGGACAGTATTCGACGCTTTCTGTCGTTATTCGTGCGCCCTATCACCCAGCAATGTTGTCCCGATGACCGGGGGACTGTCGCCATCGAAGACCATGACTCTAATTAAGTTAGGGAGTTTGAAACGTAGAAAAAAGCGCGAACGAAGTTGGGGCACTGCAGACGCCCAACACCGGCTAGGCCTCTCATCCGGGACTTCCACTCTTTCTACACAATCAGAAAGGAGGAAAGCGCCGGTAGCCCTTTCCCCTTTTCTCTCTCGCTCTCAAAATGGCGCTACCCACGATACAACGGTCTATAGACCTTTGCAATCGCTTATCACCCGGGTGAAAAATGATGAGTCACTGAGCTGTGGACGCGTGCGCAGCGTTCAATATACCGCACAGCAAATCAACAGCGCATACTCAGAAGGCGTTTCACAGCCCAGAAGAAAAAAATGGAAGCGCGCAGATGACGATTTTTGCAAAGGTCTAGAGTGCTGACTGTTGGGCGGGTTGGTGCTGAATTTGAGACTACAAGGTAGCGCTCTAAGACAAGGACAACATGAAGAGAACTGGCCCCCGCTGTGCGCACAGTGGCGTCCAGTTATTCCCCTTTTGTTATTTTCTTCGAGCGGCACCATGTATTCTAAAAGTAGTCGTTACGCACTCCGCTCGATAACCACCACGCTGATTTCACAGCCGGGGACCGGTGCAGATCGTTGCGATCCTGGAGGTGATAGTATGCGGTAGCGGAGGTAGAGACGGCAAGCATTTCTTTTGCCTTATCTCGCTGTGCAACCGATAAGTCGAAGGTAACTACAGTCCACAATTAACCACCAGGGTCATGGTGATCTACTGTGTTCCCTGAGGTGCCCAACGTTTTATTAGTTTCATGGACGCTTCAATACACAACGTGTTGGAGACGCGTTCCAGTCATCGTATATGCACGAAGTCGCTCACAGGCAGTCTTGTAGGCGTTACTGAGAAAAAAAAAGTAACCGATTACCATTACAATTACTTTATTGAAGAATGTAACTAATTAGAGTAATCAATTACTGCATAACAAATGTAATCGAAAAATTTCCAGAAAGTAATTGCTTCTCGTGTTACTTTTATTAACTTTTTATTACGACTTCGAAAATGCATACATATCTTAAAACGGTTGCATTTTGTTTCGTTTTGTCATTTGTCGTCCCAAGTTTTCGTCAGTCATTTTCCCAGGTTTCCTGCTGCGACACTGAAGACCCTCTCGACTGATGCACTTGAGGGAAGATAGGTGTTGTAGCGCACAAACACTGCGTACCAGTTCGTGGTTGTGTTTTGCTTTGACCGGCCGCTTCCGAGTCCCCTAGGAAGGGAATCTCTTCATTGTTGAGACCGCCTGTTGAAAGCGTTTCTAGGGGGAGGTGGGGGGGGGGGGGGGGGGGGGGGGGAAGGGGGCGAGGCGAGATGTCGTGGCTAGATGGGGTCAGTGCAGAACACAGTCCTCTTTGCCGCGGCCAACGCGGATCGTAACAACCAGTACACGAGGCCCTTTGGACAGCTTGACAGTCAAAAGGTCGCTTAGCATGTTGACACTTTAATCGTTCTGGTATCTTTTTATTTTAGTTGCTTCGGGGTAAAAAAATGAAAAAAGTCCAACGTTGGTGCAACATAGACGAGTGACGCACGGGCAGAGAGAGAGAGAGAGCGATTTTTTACATAAAAGAACGACTCAATAATTTTAGCTATTTTGGAAACAGTATTGATTAACCCTAATTAATGATAATAAAAAAACAGTAATTGATTTACAGGGAACGTTACCAAAGACAAAAAAGTAATTGAACCGTTACAAAGTTACACTAACATGTAATTGATTACAAGGAATCAGTTACCTGTAACTCGTTACGTACACGTTTGCTGACAGGCAATACATGAGCCGTGGCACATGGCACATGAAGTAGCTTGCCGTGCCCCAAGCGCGATACATGCTCCTTTATAAATGTTACGGTGGTGACGTCAGGTTAACTTGCCCCACGATGTTTCTTTTACATCTTTCCACTGGAGCACATGATAAAGTGTCTCTCATTTAGAGCGCGCATCAAGGTCATCTGGTGGGCTAGTTGGTAGATCATAATATGAATTAGATAGCGCAACACGACAAGGAAAAGTAGAAGAGGGACACGCTCTCTCCTGTGTCGCCCTGTCCTGTGTCCCTCTTCTACTTTTCCTGTTATGTTACGCTACCGAATTAATGGAGTGCGTATCTTTGACCTCCATGACGGCGTCATATTGGTCGATGCCATTTCTTTGCATATTGCCTGTGATCGCGCGCTACAGCAGTATGGAGTATTCACAGTGGCTATAGCTGAGCCCGCGGCTCCTGAGCGTCTGCTGACGGCGATCTTCCACTGTTCTTTCGTAACGTGCATTCCACACCATCATGGTTGCCGGTCTTGGCGGCCTATAAATGTGAGCTCGTTCTGGGCATGCGCAGTGAACAGCGAACCCAAATATTGGATCGAGTGAATACCCCTACCAAGTACCACGAAGAGCGGCACCGCCTTGACAAGAACATTGAAGCGCTATATGTAATCGTGCATATATATCTGAGGCGACTGATTGATCAAGTAACAGTTTCTTTGGCATGTAGGAGCGAACGCTGAAGGTATACATACCTGTCCCTCCTTTCCCTAGTATATCACTGATATTTGGATGGGTAATATAGTAAACAGGAATGATAAAGAAAGGTTCCTCAGTCCGTCTCCCTTCTGCGGAGGCGCAAGTCGTATGAGGCCATACCAAAGCTCATAAATGAGAGAGCTCTGGACGCGCGCAGTTCGATGGCCAGTCATCCACTGATAGACCCGGCGGTGGTGGACTTGGCTCGGCGCCTTCATCGCACTCCAGCGCAAGTGCTTCTGCGGTACCAGGTTCAGCGGGGACTCGCCGTGCTCACGAGGAGCGAGAATCCCGACCACATCCACGAGAACTTCAAGGTGGGCGAACAGTTCTGTGTTATTTGTTTCGTTTAAAGCACGAAATCCACTCACCCCGGAAATGTGTCCGACCGCCCGTCCGTGTAGTTCGAAACTAAATTTAGCGGGGAAGTGAGCGTCACATGACGTCAGGGCAACGCGCGACATGTTTTCACACCGCGACGTCCCGTCACGTGACCGAGTCGTGCGACCTCTGGTCATGTAGCACCACGACTTGAATCTGCGATGTCAATTTCCTCTTCTAGATTCAGCGGGGAAATTGACGTCACTTAACGTCGGGGCATCGTGTGACACAACGACCTGACGTCACGTCACGTGACCGGGTCATCTCGGGTCACGTAACACCGCAAATCGACTTTGTGACGTCAGTTTTCCCGCAAAACATTTGTCGGGGCAGTTGATGTCACGTGACACCGTAACGTCACGTCGCAGGATGTCGATTTCGCCCTAAATGTAGCGGTGGGGAAATTGACGTCATGTGACGTCATAGCATCACGTGACACCACAACTTGACCCCGCCGACACGACTGTATAATGTAAGCGATTTGCCTGCTGGGCTATGCAACGCCTTTTGAGCATGCGCTGTTGCTCTGTTGTGCGGTATATCGGACGCTGCGCATCCGTCTACAGCTCAGTGACTAAGCACTTTTCGCCCGAGTTATAAGCGATCGAAAGAAGACCTTAGTATCGCTTATCACCCGGGCGAAAAATGCCGAGTCACTAAGCTGTGGACGCCATCTGCAGTGTCCGACATACCGCTCGGCAGATCGACAGCGCATGCTCAGAAGGCGTTCCACAGCCCAGGAGACAAAGATTGCAGCACACAGAAGGCGATTTTTCCAAACGCTACGTGCATCTATGACGTTCGGGAAGGGAGGGGGGATGGGGGGAGAGCAGGTTTTGTTTTTCAGGCTGTATCCCTTTGGCAGGCTTCGAATCACTAGTGCTCATGGTCACCGTGAGATTGCAAACCTGCCAAATATACTTTCGCGGTCGTGCTGTATGGTCCTTGTCCTTGTTGGTCCTTGTTGGTCCTTGTTGGTCCTTGTCGGTTGTTGCGTTTTTGTCGCTCAAGTTGTTGCTCTTTTTTTTTTCCCCGCTCAAAGAGGCGGGACTTGGAAGTTTCTCAGGTGACGCCTTGTTTACGTGATGCAGATTTTCGATTTTCAACTGACTCCGGACCAGATGAGCATGCTGCAGGGGCTGGACAGAAACCTAAGGCTTTTCAAGCACGACCGCTACGACAAGTGAGTATTCTATAGCGATGCAGTTCCCACGAGATCGGAACTCGCTGTACGTTTCGAACCCCTAAACACTGGCGCTTCGGCCACGCCGTGCCGATTATCAAAATCCCACTCGTAAAAAAATCTGGTTTTAAGGTGATCAGCTTTCTTATGATCTTCAGGCGACTTGGAGGTATGTTTCTGGCCGTTTATTTTGCCCGCTAAAATTGACAAAATAAATGATGTCACATGACGATGTCACGTGACCTATAAACAAATTCAGTTTCCCCGCTAAATTTAGCGGGAAAACCGATTGCAATTGAAAGAAAAAAAAAATCTGCCCCCTCCCATAAAAAAAAAGGACAAAAACGCATGGCACTGAGATTTGCTTATTTTTAGCTGTTTTTTTTTATGCCAAAGGGGACGCGGCAATTTTCTTATGTTTGGGACATCTACGAAAACTTGAATTGGGATAAAGAAACCCCTGACCTTCGAAAAAAGTTCTTTAAAAAAAAATCAGTTGTATTTTTGGTGATGTCGTGCTGTAAATTTCTGGAATCGGCGTAAGACCCATGTAGTAAAAAAGAAAAAAAAATGTAAAAAAACTGTTGCGTACCATACGAATATAGGTGAGCACCTAATTACTTAATAACATGCCATATCCTACACTAAAATACAATCATTCAAAGACGTCATTTTGAGTCCAAATAGGTGCTCCAAAGAAGAGAAACTTCATATTATTTTTTTAATCATCTTGGATCTGGGTGTTTGGTGCAATACTTTTTTTTTTTGTTATCTTAAAACTAAGAAATGAATTGCTTGTATTAAATTTTCAGCGTCGTTTGGTTGCCTTTTAAATGACAAAATCTCCCGTTTATGCAGGAACAAATTGAAAGCCAGAAAAAGTATGGCCAGCGGTGCCCGGAACTTTCGAAATAGCCAAACGTTTAAACCACCTCCTCTCTTCAAGCTATATAAAAAGAGAAAACTACTTTTATTATTGCTGAGAAATTATCTTTTAAAGATGAGCCTCTCTAACCATGCCTCTAGGTGTCCGCCTCGTAGGCGAAACACGTTCCACCTAGGGAGCCTTCATGTGCGCTTTGCTAGGGTGATGCCACCCTTTGTAATACCACTCGCCGACAAACCAGCAGCCATTTTGATTCTCGGCGATAATCCGTGGGGTTTAAGTTATAACCCTCCCCGAAACAAGCACCTTATCTCACAAGTTCGAAGCAGCGTTGTGGAACCCACGGAGGGAGGATTAGCATTTTCCCCCTCGGATGGGAGGACCGACGGACACAAAGGCCACTTTCCGGCGCACGGGGAAACAATGAGAGAAACAAAATGGCGGTGGAAGAGGGTGTGGGAAAGGGAAACAGGCAGTTGGCATCACTCTAAGCGAAGCGCACATGCTCCACCTAGCTCCACCGAGGCTTCAACGGTGTGAGACGCTGCCGCAAGAGCGCAACTCAAGTCGGCTAGTTCTCGATCGGCGGTTTTCGGGCGGAAAGAAAACGAATTTCGAGTCTCAAATTACGTTCTGGGTAGTTGGGCTTTCATGTGTCACGTACAAATAAAAACCTCGGCGAGCATAAATACCTTACCAGTGTCCCTTTAGCTACATGGGTTATATGCAAATTCCAAAAATCCAGAGAATATCAGCAAAAATAAGACTTAGTTTTTTGTTTTTTTTTTTCACAAAAAATAGTTTTTTTGGAGTTTCAGAGGCTTTATTCAAATTAATTGTTTCGTATATGTCCCAGGCATACAAAATTGGGAGCCATTCCACTTTGTAAAGGTGGATGACCAGCGAAGCTATTCAGCGCACGACACAGACGTGACACAGAATTTTGAACAAAGGTACGAACACATTTATTGTCTTGATCGGTAGTCATCGTGACGAAAGCTACGCGCACACACGTGCCGCCCGTCGCCGCCGTTGACATTCTCGTTGCCGTTCACGCCGTTGCCCTTCGTAGGCGCGTTGCTCTTCGGGAGTTCGGACTATACACCAACTTATGTTTACAAACCGGAGCGCCCTGCCTAACGCCACCGGCGCCGTGCATGCGCGATGGAGCGTGGGCAAGAAGCTCGCCGTCGCCCGTATACAGTCCATTGAAATGCGATGTTGTCGGCGTCGGTGTGAGTCCCAGTGCTCTTTCTCGTGTTGGAATTGTTGATTCTACTTCTTCCTGGGCAATGTCTGACTACTTGAGCGGCGTCAGCGAAATTACCGAGGCTCGTTACACTGCAAAACTTCGCCTGAATACTGTGGCATGCGCCGATTCATTCCGCGTGGACGCCGCAGAATGGAGGCTAAAGTCTGATTTGCATGATAAGATTCCGCTCGCAATTTTCGGTCGCGACGTCGCTCGGGCTGCGAAAGCGTGAACCGTATCTGAGATGGTCGACTGGCAATACTCAAAATTGCAAACAGTATTGGACCAAGTGAATCAGGCATAACAAGTCGGTGATGGCCACTTGTAACAATGATCAACATTTCCTTGTTTTTGCAGTTTACACCAAGCCTGCTTACCCCAACCAACCTTGCAACTTAAAAGTATTTTGAGGCCTGCACTTACATCTTATCGCAATTACCGGGTCAACGTTTGGGCTAAAAGCCGGTGTCGTCTGAAAGAGCAGACGACAAGCAAAAACTTTTGAAAGAGCAGACGACAGTTCGAACGATCAGGCGGCTGTTTGAACTTGAAGACGCACTGAACGTAGTCCGCAGTTGGTCCATATACAACTTCACGATTTTCCTGCTTTTGTGTTGGAACAAAACAAATAAATCTAATGATCACAAGTATCCGTGAATTCGACTCAAAGTGCTTTCCGCCTAAGCAATCGTGATCCGACGGCGTCTGGGATTCCCTTTTCACGGCGCATATCCATGTTCTCGGACGAACCGCAATCACATGAAAACTGACCTTCAAACCTTCCCCGACTTTTTTTTCTACAGCCTCAGTCGCGGCGTTTTGACGAGAAGGCAGGTTTTTGTCTGGTCTCTTTCAAAACAACGCAGAAATGCACGTCCCGCATGGTGACTTCCGCCCACAGCCCCAGACCGGAAGTGCGCTCGACGCGCCACCACTGCGCCGTGACGTAACAGAGTTAAGTTGTTGTATACGCGGCCTCGCCGGTTACGACCAGAGAAGTGAAATTAAAAATGGAAACGACAACCCAAGCTTCAGTTGTAATGCAGGGAATGGTGTTCTACGCGCCGCACGCGCACGCCTTCCCTGTATAAAAGATGCGAAGTAAATAACCAAAATACAGCGTTGACGAATGCGCGTGCAAAATGTGATTTGTGGTTGCGGTTGTAGTTGCGGTGCGGATGTAGAGTTTTTGGTAACGCACGCGAAAAATCAATGGAATCCTAGCCATAAACAGCTTCGGTGTAAAATATTGCCGCCTCGCCTTTGTAATGGAATAGCTGAGCTCTAAATATATCTTAAGCCTAGTCGTTCGCCGAGCGATCGGCTCTTTCAAATGCCTTACGGCAAAGTAGACGCTACTGCATTTTTTTAGATTGCAGCCCCCCTTTTTCTCGGCGTCTATAGTCCCTGACAGCTTAGGGGGTAACTCCGGTCAATATTTATGAATTTGGGATTACGACTGTTCTCAGCTAAAACTGTCCCTGAATAACAAGGTGTAATTTTTTTTCTCGACGTTATGTGCAGTTTTATAAATATCACGGGGCTGAAAGTTTGCTTTCGGGCGTCTACGGCAGAACCAAATCTACTAAAGGAATGGCAACACTGATCGTCAGCCGTACGGCCTTGACATGACGTCACAAGGGTGCTGCGCCAGTGTTCCTTGACTAAAAGCTAACCTGCTTGCTGGCAGGTAAAAAGCAGCTGGTCGCATCTTTAAAATCGGTTTCAAAGGAATACGCGGCTTCACTTTGACCTCATATTTGGGCTGTGATCCTATTTCGTGCCACTAAGCGACAGCAGTCGTTTATTTTGGTTTCGTTTTCGACCGGAGCTGCCCCTTTAAAAGAGGCAGGGCGTGGTTTTTTACGTCATGTCCATGCCTCTCAAATCCTGATTGGTTCTTCGACGCTCTTCTTTGCTAATGCCGCACTCTTATTGGCTGCGGTGCGATAATGAGATGCCGAGGACTTGCCACGCACTGCGTTTCTTAGGTTGTTCGTGATTATAAACAAAAAGAAAGCTAATAAACTCTGCTTGCCGGAAAGGAGGTAAAAGACGTAATATTTATGTCCTACGCAACACCACTTAACATGAGGCTACCAAAATCATTTCACTGCACCATCAAATTAATGGGATTGTTGTGAAATCCGTCGTCAAGTGATAAAGTGTACAATGCAAACGTTTTTTGTTATCGGTATTTTGATATAAGAAACACCATCTTACTGGCAAATATTGTCATGAATGACAAGAAGGTAAACGAGAAATAACGAAAGAAACTAAACTTCTAGTACAACATACCTGCGAAAAAAAAAAAAAAAACGAGCTATGAAATAACGGCAGCAAGCGTCGCGGTGTCGGCGTGACAGCTGGCTCGAGCGAGATTTACGCGGCAAGGCAACGCAGGACTCCTTGTGCAGTCCACACTATACTTCGGTTCACCTGATGTTGTACCGCAGCGAAGGCTAGAAGCGCGAGCTCATAGCGTTGGCAGCCGCTCTTAAGTCACGAGAGCTTGTGCCTCCGAGGTGTGCCCCAGAGCACGGAGGTCGTGCTTGTAGCCTTTCCTGCGGTACATCATAAGGTGAAACAGAGTATGGAGGAGTTTCAGCGGATATAGGGGGCGCTCCGATTGATTCAACATGGTGGACAAAACGGGGATAGATTTGCGACGCCCGTAGACCGGTAGCGTATAAATTAAACAAAGCGTGTCGTTCTCTGTTTGTTGCCGTGTGCGAGACGATCATCACTTCAATGAAGACCTACCG